GATAAAACAGTAAATCCACTTTATTGCTTTGCAGACGATGGTAATGTAGTCTCCTCACTCATACCACCCACAGGGCTTTCCGCACGTGAATTCCATCATCTTAGACTAACTCAAATATCGCAGATAAATAACGACCTGGAGATAATAGAGGACTGGGGTAACAAAAACCTTGTACAGTTCAATGCGCAGAAAACCCAAGCAGCTCTGTTTTCAAAAAAGACCAGCACCGGTGAGCCAAACATCATGCTATCTGGAAGTGCTGTCACATTACAGAGTCAGTTGAACATCTTGGGGGTTACTGCAGAGACCAACATGTCTTGGCACAGTCACGTGGCAGATATTGCTAAAAGGGCCTCCCAAAAGCTGGGGGTGCTATTTCGTACAAGACATCTGTACACACCAAGCCAATTGCTGACACTCTACAAAGCCCAGATTCGACCAACTATGGAGTACTGCTCACATATATGGAGTGCTGCACCCAAACATACCTTAATGCTTTTGAATACCGTGCAAAAACGAGCTATCAAGCTGATCAATGACCCCGCACTTACTCGTAACTTGGATGGTCTCGAACATCGCAGATCTGTGGGCGATTTATCTCTCTTCTACAGGTACTATCACGGAAAATGCTCTGAAGAGTTGGCACGTATGATTCCACCGAGAGTAGCACCTACCAGGCGAACGCGTCAAACAGACGGTAACCATGAATTTACTGTCAAACTAGAGGCACCAAGAACCTCACTATATCAGAATTCATATCTCTGGAGAACAGCATCGCTGTGGAATAAACTCCCTGCGACGGTTTTCCCTGCAGGTTACAACCTGAACCGTTTCAAGACCAACATACACCGACATTTCCGCGCACTTGCCGCTTCTCGAGCGTGATAGGACATTGTCCTTGCGAGTGCGCATATCCGTAAAAAAAAAAAAAAAAAAAAAAAAAAAAAGGGATATTTTTTTCTGTGTATGTTGGTGTTATTGTTATATTTTGTAGTATGTTTATGTCTCTTTTAGTTTGCGGTGCTTTTTTCGTTAGCGCTTGAAGCCTTCTTTCCACTTCTTTGTTAAAATCGTGATGTTTTGTGTTTATATATTTATTGCACACTTTCACCATGAGATTAAATTTCCAATCAAATCTTCCTGTATAATTGCAATCCTGTATGTTATTTGGATCTTCAAAATCTATATTTAAGTTTGAAAGGTAGAGTTTTGTTTGATCGTTTTGGTTTTGTATCATTTTATTTAGAGCAATTTTTTCTTTTCTAGCAAACAATGATCCCACCACTAATACATTTGTGTGCTCGGCTGTCAATATTAATTCTTGGAGTAGCTTTTGAGTCAGAGTTTTCCCTCTAATTATGTCTTTTTGTGTTAAAAATATGATTATATGGTCTTTCAGGGATAAATTTTGTGAAAGTGCTCTACTTTTAGTAATTATCTCTTCATTTGAGATGTGATTATATTGACAGTTTGTGTCATATCTCTCATTTCTCAATCTTCTGAGAATCTGCATACTTCCCTTTATTGTATAGTCACCCAGAATGACGATTTGTGGGACTTTTTCTACCACTCTCTCTGTTGTGTTTATTTCTTTTGTGCTGTACCCAGTTTTTTGGCAGTCCGCTGTTTGTATTTCTTTGTCGATTTGTATTCGTAATAGTTGAGCTGTTAATAGTTCAGTATATAAACTGTCTTCCTCTGGTTTTACTTCACAATCTATTTCATTTGTAGTTTCCTCGATCGGAGCTCTCGTGGTTTGACAGGCGGTTTCCTGCTCTTGCTCTGTTTGTCCTACTTGTGTGTTTATTACTGTTTCAGTTTCGATCGTCGTTTGGCTTGCTGATGTCACCATTTTTGCTGACTCCGTTTGGATATATGAGTCGGTTTTATTTATTGTAGTAGTTTGTGTTGAACAGTTGGCTTTTGGTTTTTGCATCAACACTATTCTTCTCTGTAATTCACTTTTTTGGCTTTCCAACAGGTTCATTTGACTTTTTCTTTCTTCCAGTTGTCTTGTAAAGAATTCTTCCATCTCTATGGCATCCGTATTTATTTGTTCTTTTATTGCTATTGTTCTCTTTATGTAATTATCTTTCTGTTCCAATGCCTGCAGCAGCTCTTCATTTTCTTTCTTTAATAACTGGGCATTTTCCAGAAGGTTTTCATTTATTTCTGCATCTTCCTGGCAGGCTCTTGAGCAGTACATCTTATGGTCATTTAAGTGTATCCAATTTTTGAGTCTTTCTTGGCATGATTTGTGCGCCACTGAGTAGCATGTTACACATATAAGAAAATGGATGTCCTGGCTTCTGTGGCATTTGAATTTCATTTTTACCGTTTTCCTTTGTTTACTTAAAACGTATGGTTATTTGATTTGTTTACCATTAAGTAGTAACGAGATAGACGATCAAGCATCTGGTACTACGTCAGAAAAATCTGTCGGACATCAGCTGATTTCTGTTTTTCTCTGTTGTAGGCTACTTTTCCTTAGTTAGAAGATTTGGGTTATGTTTCACTTTCCTAATTTTGCATCGTAATATTGCCGTTTTTTTTGCCCGTAGAGTTAATTTTTCGCGATTTTTCTGTATTTGTCCTTTCCTGCAGGTTTAGTTTTTATTGCCCGATGAATTTATTCTTTTTACTTTGTGCATTTGGTTACTTTTTCCCGTTTTTTCCGAGGAGAATCTACGACTCAGATTATAAGCGCGACGTTGCCGTAGTACCATAAAATTATGAATTTATTCTACTAGCACAGCTAGATGTAAATTATACATTTTTCAAAGGCACTACAAATATAATCTCATTTCCAACAGGTCCCAAATGATCATTTAAGGATGTGTTATAGCCGGAGAGCCAGCGCCGAAACAATTCTCTGAATTTACTAAAGCCAGTTTTTGGTCAGTTGATTACAGTATTTACGTACATAAACATACCTCGATCAGTCAAGCGAAACTTGGGACAAGGACCTAGGGTGTCTAGTTAAAGGTGTCGAGATAGCTAGGTAATGCAACGAATTTACTAAGGCTGAAAATCGGTATACATATTATATGTATATAACACATAAATAACAGTGATGTTTGTCAGTCAGTTGAATAGCGGAGCTGGGCCGGTCATTCAGCCCCATTGAGGTAATTCAGCCCCATTGAGGTAATTCAGCCCCAATTTATGTGATAGTTATTTACCTAACAAATGCGGAAAGTGATACTTTACCGCACGCGTCGTTCGGTCAAGCCGTTAAGAGCGGTAAAGGCACTTTCCGCATGTGTTAGGTACAAAATTTTACCTATGAGCATCTACATCTCCAAAAAAAAAGCATTGATAAAATTAATTAATGAATCAGGTTAATTAATGAAATAAGATTAAATTTAGAAATGATCAAAAATTCATTTTCTGAAAAAGAAAGGAATTTTGATTATAAATATCAAATTCTACTTTACCGCTGTAAAGTTAACTTTACCGCATAGTGTGCGGTAAAGTGATACTTTCCATTTTCAAAGTCCACTTTACCGCACACTCGTAGGTGAAAAAATAATAGGTCTATTTTTTTTTAGAGTGACAGCGTGAACAGTGACAATTCAAAATTGTAGGTTGAAGTTTAAATTAATAGGTTTGTTCAGTAATATTAATATTTTTTGCAGATTTTTACATTTATTGGGGCTGACGGACCAGTATGGTCCCGCTATTCAACTGACTGACTAACACTACTGTTATTTATATGTTATATATACTTAATATGTATAACGATTTTCAGCTTTAGTAAATTCGATGCATTACCCAAGTTATCTCGACACCTTTAACAAGACACCCTGGGTCCTTGTCCCAAGTTTCGCTTGACTGACCGCGGTATGTGTATATACGTAAATACTGTAATCAACTGTCCAAAAACTAGCTTTAGTAAATTCAGAGAATTTTTTCGGCGCTGGCTCTTAGTGCGCGTTCACATTGACACCGCTCGAGCGGTGAGCGTTGCGCGATGCCGCTGTAGTGATGCCCAAAAATAATTTTAACATTATATTTCAAATGAACAAGTTCACACTGAGGCGGCGTGTCGCACGGTGTTAACATGTTCATTTGAAATATAATGTTAAAATTATTTTTGGGCATCGCTACAGCAGCATCCCGCAACGCTCACCGCTCGAGCGGTGTCAATGTGAACGCGCACTTAGACTATTACGTGAAATTTCCTATTTTGCTGTAAATAAAATATATAGTTTGATAGAATGAAATCCAACAGGTTCTGGACTCATTTTTTTTAATTAAAATCAAGTACGCTATGTATCTATTCAATAAAATGTATTCCGCAATAAAGTATCGAATAAAACTGACCTGAATATGATAATAGGAGCAACAATGGAACTTCAACTTAATTATCTGCAATGCACTACTTTGGCTTTCCTGCCATCACAACGATATAGATAATTATTACTTATTCAGCGAAAATGGTCGATAATGACGAATAAATATGATTCATGGTAATCGATGTATTGTTTTAGGTACTTTGAACTTTAGATATTCAATTTACTGATTATTAATGAATGTTTTTTCGGACAATTAAAGGCGCACACGAGGAGTATCAATGGAATTTATGATAATCTAATAAATAATTAATGAAACATAAGGGATTATTTGTGTTCATAAAAAAAATCGAACTTTTTAGTTCCTGGTCAATTTGGGTCACTCTGTTTTAGATCCTGGTGATAATCTATCGATATGTAGCAATTTTTTTCTCAGATAATCTAACCTATTGTTCTGTGTCTCACGAGTCAATAGTTTATTAGTTTGATGCCCGATTAAATTTTAAATTTTTGATAAAATTATCACTCATTTCATACATAAAATTCTTACCATTAATAACAATTTATTGTTGCTAATTATTGAATAAATGAGCACTTTAAAATCTGTAATAGAAATAGGTACCAACTATGGTATCTCTTTGTTGTTTTGTAATTAGGATATCGTCACAATAGGAATGATGTGCGAATGCATCGGACGATACTCACTTAATGTAAAATTGATCAGTTGCTTTCTACATGTTTAAAAAAAAGATAAAAATCCTCAAATTAAAAATAAATAAAAGGAAAAGTTTGAACTCTTTTCATTTGACAATGACACTAATGACAATTATGATAGAGTGGTTTTCATTTGTATCTGCTCCTATCTAGCCTTGCGTTCGGTATTTTGCTCAAAGAGCAGAGCGTGCTGAGCGAACAGAGCAGTTGAACGCTGTATCAGAGCTCGCAAAATTTTAATAAACGAACGCGGATGAGCCTGCACCGAGTACACTTTTTAAATAAACGAACGGTAAATTCAAGCTCGAAGAACTCGGATCAAAATACCGAACGCACGGTAAATGAAATAATATCACATTATTTTCTCTAATCTATATAAATTATAGAGTACAATTTAACAAGTTTGCTTTTATTTTTTTTCCATAAAGTCATGCATAGTTCCTACAAATTTGCCAGCTTAATGAAGCTTTTAAATTTTCAACGAACAACTGTTGCGTCACTTTTTGCACGGAGTACGATTAGATGTGCGCTGCACCTGCTCGCGGCACGCTTGGCGTATACTCCAACTTTCGACTCTCGACCCAAAACTGCTCCCGATTGATCAAAGCTGATTTACATGCTGCGTGTGGCTAAAATTCGCCAAAATGTTGTGCCGCCACAAGGAGAATACACACTCTAATAGGAGTGCTTATCGGCCTTAGGCGATTTCGGCAAGCTTTGGTACCCTGTTTGGTCTGTCAAATGCATACCAACCAATTTCGGATACGAAAATGATGTCGTCACCGTGACTTTGGTATCCTTTTTGGTCTGTCAAATAGGATACCGTGGTCAGCAGCACGGTTCTTCTATTTGGTATAGCGCTATCTATGTCTATTTTCGTTTTGTCCTGCTCTGGGAAATGTAAATAAATGGAAGTTCATTAGAATTTGAATAATAATTTGAAATTTTTAGCAAATATGTTTGTTTTTTCGCCTTCATCTTCCTGTTTTCTCGTATGTTTTGACTGCCAAATAATGTTTGACTATCATTTAAAAAATAACTTTGAACGACAGATATGGGGTAACTTTTTTGATGAATGGATTATGGAATATGCTTTAAATTTACAGAAAACGCTGAGTTAGCCAATAGGTTACTCAAAGGTACTGTTTAGACAGTGCTGATTAGTGATTATAGATTTTAGTCAGTGCAGTCAGTACCTAGTCACTCCCAAAACTAGAAGAACAACACAAAGTTAGGTTAAGGCTCGTTTCTTCCTCTCTCATGACCTACCAAACGAATTCGGAACAAAATGGTATCTTACGTCATTACTATGACGTTGCAGGTACCAATTGGTTAACCAAATGGTATACCAACCAAAGCTTGCCGAAATCGCCTCTTGTTTTTGGTAATCGCCGCCATATTGGTGTGTTACCATTTCCGACATATCTTAAGTCGTCAGCTGTTTGAACAGCCTACATCACAACTAGTTGTATTCCTTTCACACCTAGGAGGAGCTCCGGAACAGCTCCGGGGGGTTACGCGCTTATTACTTTCGAAAAGTGTTTGTTACACCTGAGCGCTCAAGCCCGAATCAAACCATTTAAATGCATGAAAACCAGCGCATCTGTTCCTTTCAAATCGGGGTCGACTAACAACGGACCGAGTAGCCCAGTGCTTTAAACTTTTGAAAGGAATACAACTATTGGTAATTTAGTGTGGGGGGAAGGGGGGATTTGTTACACACATCAGACCATATGAGGATAGGCCATCCTGTAGTAGTAGTGTGTATCATCCTTGGCACCGCCACTAAAGCGGCGATTGAAATTCACTAAAAGCGATTTCCATTTGTAGAATCAGTGCAAAAAAAAATGTATTCTAAAGCCTAGTACTCATAACTGCGAAATTCGCACTTTTTTGACATTGTTCCGACAATTTGACGTTTGATTCACGCATAAAACGTCAATTTGTCGAAGCAATGTCAAAAAAGTGCGAATTTCGCAGTTATGAGTACTAGGCTTTATCCTTACATGTTACATGCTTTTAGAAAAAGATGCGAATACACTCAGTGCGCACCTTTGAATATAAAACTACAGGAAGGAGCATGACTTCGAATCTGCGCGACCAAAATATGTGGAGGTTGCATATGGCCGACTAGTATTTCCGGTTTGGCAGTGACGTATATTTATTTAAATATGATTGTCAATATTATGACTCACTCTTTTTGCACTAATCCCAGTTAAGCCTAGTACTCATAACTGCGAAATTCGCATTTTTTTGACATTGCGTTGACAATTTGACGTTTCATGCGTGTATCAAACGTCAAATTGTCGAAGCAATGTCAAAAAAATGCGAATTTCACAGTTATGAGTACTAGGCTTTAGTCTGGGAGACGACCGCATTTTTCCTACCCCGATCGAGTTATGTGTCGACACGATTATCAATATATAGTATTATGTGCATCTATTAACCTGTATTCCTGCCTGAGAGCAAATGCTGCCGGAAATATCTTTTAACAAATTATTAACAAATTGAAAAAAACGTAACACTACCCCCATCGAGTTATGCCCTAAGTAGGGTATCAGATTGAAGGTCTCGATGTCCCCTATCTAAAATGTCGATCCTGCCTCGTGAGAACTTGCCGGAAAAGGGTGGCAGGACAGCTTATTGGGGCAAGGGCCCGCGGCCTCTGCTTTGACACCTATCAAGCTTTGCACTAAATGATGTTAAAGGTGTCAATAAGTTGATTTAAGGTCTGTTCGCACAGAAATCACAAACCAGTCAAAGCGAATTTCATTGTTTGGAAACAGTCAGGAAACTAGTTCCAAACAATTAAATTCACTCCTTCTGGTTTGCGATTTCTGTGCGAAGAGAACAGTTTGGGAAACCCCGTTTAGGCCGGAGTTTCATGCATCCGTTTTTCCGTCGAAATATGTCCGAAAAGTCTTCTATTTTGACATATTTATATACGATTATGTCAGAATAGAATGTATGCTTAGGGAGGATTTTCATGCATCCATTTTTCCGACGAAATATGTCCGTTTAACATTCTATTCTGACATAATCGTATATAAATATGTCAAAATAGAAGACTTTTCGGACATATTTCGACGGAAAAACGGATGCATGAAAATCCTCCCTAAAGCCTAGTACTCATAACTGCGAAATTCGCATTTTTTTGACATTGCGTTGACAATTTGACGTTTTATGCGTGTATCAAACGTCAAATTGTCGAAGCAATGTTAAAAAAATGCGAATTTCGCAGTTATGAGTACTAGGCTTAAGGGTGGATTTTCATGCATCCGTTTTTCCGACGAAAGATGTCCGAAAAACATTCTATTCTGACATAATCGTATAAAAATATGTCAAAATAGAAGATTTTTCGGACATATTTCGTCGGAAAACGGATGCATGAAAAGTAAGCTTAATTCAACACATTGTTTTTTCTACTATTCCACCACGATGCCTACACCAGCCGAATTTAACCACACGCGGCATCCGCGTATTGGGCTCAAAACGGAGCGTTGTTCTCGGCGAAATTCCCGTCCGTGTTTGACTTGAGCACTAGAACATTCTCAAATCGTATGACGTCACCCGCAGACCTCGATGGAATGCTTGCAATTCAGGCTGTGCTAGTGAGTCAATTTTTTCGTCGAGTTTAAATGTAGAAAGGGTGATTTTGGGCCTGTTCTCACAGAAGAAAATTGCCTAGTGTCACACTGACCACCTCTACCCCTATGCTCTATTCAGAGCCGCTTTCGGGTGCTATTCTTTGAGCGTTCCCGAGTTACTCCGAAGTACTCCGGCTACGGTTTGACCCGTTCAGGTGAACAGAAATTGGCGCTCTCGCTCTCATTTCCTCGCCTCTTGCCCCTCTGAGCACCAACCATATTGGGTTGCATCACGCTCCGAGCAATACGGTTTGAAGCGTTCGAGTGTAATACGCATAAAGTATAAAGCCTACTAGTCACCATAGACGCGAAATTGTCTACGGATTTGTTCCTATTAGTTGGAATTTGACATTCAACGTTTAAATGTCAAATTCTAGCCAATAGGAAAAAATCCGCAAAAAAAAATCACGATTTTGTGGCACTCTTTGTGACGCCCAGGGTGATTTCGAACACACTCCAGGGTAAACATAGCAACTGGACACGCTTACCCTGGAGTTTAAACCAGCCCGGAGGTGACTCGCTATTAAGAAACCGGCCCTTATAACAAGAACATATAGCGCTGATTGACGGTGTTTATTACGTGGCAAAACGGGCACTGCCACTTTGTTACCCGCAAAACGTAAGGTAGAAGTAAATAATGAAACTTGAAGGAAGTGGGACAGAGAATGGGTAACTATAACAGAAAGAATAGAAAGAAAGGGTTGGTTGGTGGCTGAAATCCAGAAACGTGATTTCGTATATAGGGTTGCCGACTAGCTTCCAATACGGAGAGTGGTGTGGGTTAATTAATTAACTAAATATAGAGCGCCACCTACTTTTTCCCTGCAGTTTACGAAATCAACCGATATAACGAAAGCAGGAAACTTCTACGGAACTATAGCAGCACAACATGAAATATAAACAAGAAGAAGGGACAAAAGTGAAACGCTTTGCTACAATCAGGTACGGGTTTTAATTAGAACCAGAACAAGAGTTTGATTCCAGAGCAGCTTCGGAGGGTGATGAATAAAGGCCAAAATTACTTTGTACCTTTAGGAACAAACAATTGGTCACGTTGCTCTTTTTCGACTCACAAAAAAAATCCGCACAAGGCGATTGGGTGCTAAAATAACGGATTAGCCACCCTAGATCTATGAGTGAAAACTAGACAACTCAGAAAATCGGCAAAATGTGCCTGAGGAATTTTCCCGAACACCTAATCGTGGAAAGTCCTCGACCTGAATGATCTCTGCTTGTCCCCGCAATGTCCTTTAAAAAGTCTCTGTCAAAAATCCAAGGTGGAAGGTACTGGGGAATTTTGATGGTAGTTGGGGCATGGTACCTACTTATTCAAATTAAGTTAGTACCGGTCATTGACTCTATTTGGAGCGCTGTCAATCTAGTCAATCTACTCGGATCAGACAATCAGCTGTTCTAGTGTAAATATTGTAATTTTATTTATTAATAAATTAACTGACTATTTATTTTAACCCTACCAAAAGGA